GTCAAGCCAGCTAGCCAACAAGAGGATTGGTCTGATCTCATTACAGCTTCTGTCAGTCCAGTGTCTGACCACAACCACTGGTCAATCTGCTGATTGCTGGCCAATGCTTCAGTAACACACTATGGCCTGTTGATAATAGCTCAAGGCTGAGGCTAGGTGTGCATCCATACACATGTAAACAGGTCCTATTATGACATTACATGTGTTGACCTATACACTAGCCAATATCAGATCATGTGAATCTGTTCTCTTGCATCACTGGTACTTAGTTAATTAGAAGTTCTGTGTAGATATTGGTTGTGTGTGCGGTGAATCGATTCCCTTGGCTCTGTATACAGGTGTAAAGAGCTGACCACATCCTGCAGTGCCCTTGTTTTGTTTACAGGTCGGTTGAGATTTTCAATCGAAAATGGTTACTGGAAGTACAGTCAGTACTGACTGAGCAGGAACTCTTTTCCTATTTTAATAAAATTGTATTCTGATAAAAATGGTTCCACTGGAATCTTCAGAACAACATGAAACAATCTAATTCTGATTTACTTTCATCAACATGGTATATATTCTATTTCTTGTATACATGCCAAAGCGAATTCTGAGGGTTAATGGTCATCCTTTTTATGTATGCTTTGGGTGAATGGGGAATTGCCGTTTTTTGTTAGTATGCATGGAGAAAGTCAAAGTGGAAAGGTCAATCTTGTTTGGTAGTTTATATGCTTCAGGTGAATGCATATATAATGGCGTTCTTCTTTGGTCGAATATGTATGCGGGATTGATATGATACAAGCTGTTGGCTTCCTTGGGGCTACCCTGGGTGGTCTAGTATATATTAGATGAAGATTCCATCGACTGTGAGGGCTGAACCTACGCAACTTTGTTAAGCCTATATTAGGTACAAACTACTTTTATTGTGTAGAAGGTATATTTACCAATATTATAATGAGCTCTTATCATTAGAAAGCCTGATACTATGTAATTACAGATAACTCTCCATATTATAGATCTGTCCACACACAAGCTACCTCACGCGGAATACAAACATCAGACCAATCTGTCCCTACTGATAACGGACATGAAGTACGGAACGACCTTGACATTGACATCTGTATTATGGGTACTGTCATTGTCACAACCAGCGGTGGTGTTATAACAATCAATGAATTGGTGGAGTGTTACAGCCTCACCGTCCGACCAGTAAACAAACATGTAACGCTAAACTACTAACAGAAAACAGACAAAATACACTGTTAGCCTTAGCAAGTAAACTTGAAGTTAGCTGAATAAGGGAGATCTAGAGAACTAATAAATTAGTTCAAAGTATGAAATTAATAATAAAAGGTGTTAATTATATTATATGCCGGAGTGGCACATGTATTATTGAACCTAATGGTTGGATGATATATTTCAGACTGTGAGGTACTTTGTGAATCAGCAGCTCCTATTATCTGACACCATCCCTTGTTTTGAGTACCTTCAATCAATAATCTAGTACTCTGAAGCCAATGGTTTCATCAAAACAAGATGTGTCATCAAAACATTTGGAGGATCAGTTGTTTCTGACTTAGACATGAACACACTGTTCTATCAGTACAGCACCGATTATACTGTGTAAGTATATAGGTAGATGTCAGACAGGTGACACAGTGCAAACTCAGCATGTGGCTATTTATAACATTACGTATACATTGAAATCACTAACACAGGGGAAAAACTTTAGTATATGGACAACAGTGTGGGTCTCAATATTGATAAATCAGGATAAGGAACCTTAGCTACTTAAGGAACAGGGAAGCGAAACTTGACAGCCCACAGTGATATAGACATGTAAGGACACTCAGTAAATATGGCTACCTAAATTGGAAGCTTATTCAACTCATTCTTCAAAAATTTGAAGAATTTTTTCTATTGTTAGTTGTTTAACAAATGAAATTCAAAACAATTCTATAACACAGATATCGGTACATTGAAAAACAGCCAAATTTTACCGGATTGAGTATCATTATTCGAGAATAATCCTATTATGCAGTCCTTCATATTGTCTAAATACTAAAGGCATGCCAGTTAACTGGCTTGTGAAAATATGGCCTGCCAGTTTTCTTTCAGTTATATTGATCATGGGAAAATAGAGCTTGGTAATGATTTGCACCTTTATGCGTACATGTACTACCGCAGATACTTATATATCGACCAAACAGGTTTATATTGACTGAACATACAGGTAGAACTGACAAGGTAGACTTGAGAATTTCAACAACATGGATAATTTATATATAAGCGTGGTGTATTCTATTTGGAATGTATATATTCAAACCATATGCTGGCATGTTGGATACAGATATTCCTAGATCACATTTCATAGGCACTAACATCACATGATAAATAGGCTCTGGTAGATATTTACATTTATATAAATAATACCTCTTAACCTGTTCATTAAGGAAATCAGATGTAGTGCTTTCCAAAACCAGGAACATGAGTATAATTTGAGTCAATGAGGATGTCCTTGTGTCGGTCTGGCTGGCAATCGGTCACGGTGACTGTGCCAGCCTCTCGTCAGGTCCTATCTATTTCCCTCTTGGTTTTTTTAGATCGGTACGTTATATTTATATCGGTATATAATGTGTGCACTTTTTCACATTGACAATGATCTAGCCCTTATCTAGTGCTGAGCCTTTGATATATATCACAAATTATCCAACCTCTGTTATCAGTCGTGATCATAGGACATGTACACGACGTCATCGATGTCATATTCAACTTGATTACTTAATGTGATAAAGTGTGTGACATCTGTTGGAGTCAGAAGTGGATGGATTTATATACATGCTATCTAGTAAGGTAGGTGATGTTTCCTTTTTTATAACTTTCTGAACTATGTGATTTGACAGGAAAAATCTGAGTTTCCTGTAAACTTGCTGAAAATATCTCTCTTTTTTTGTTTCAAATACAAGTTTTCATCAATCAGAAAAGTTTACAACTTGTACATCAGTATCATATACAGATATATCTTAATACAAGTATACCAACAGATAGCCTACTTATTGTGAAATGTTTACACAGACTTTTCCAATAACATATTGATCCTAGTTCTACACATATACAGTCAGGTTAGAGTTGAGGAACAGTTTTGCAGTGATATTATGACGGAACAGGAAGAGGGAGTGGGGAGGGGGGTCAGTCCTTACACCAGTTTAAAGTCACAGTGATTATGTGAAAGGAAACTCATTAATGCTACCCAGAATCATTGAACCTTTGCTGTCCAAACATTTGACATTTTAACTCCTGTTGAGGTGTGATAACAATGCTATTTCAGAAATGCAGAAAATATTGGGCTTGGTATCTAATCTACCTGCAGAAAAATAAATGAATCAACAAAAACGAAAGTGTGCACATTAATGAGTTTTCATAGTACACCATCTGAGTATAGCCACACAAAAGTTGACTGGGATCATTTAAATGTTTAAATGTATTGTTTATGACAATAGAGTATCTTGTTTACTTCTACATAGCAGATACTGAATACAATTGATGTATTGTTTACCTTTAAATGTCTTGGTTGAATATACTATGTATAATGTTTCATATTCAAAAGAATAGCTTGTTTACAAATGCATGTATGATGTATATATTTCACTTGTATGATGTATATATTTCACATGTTTGATGTATATATTTCACATGTATGATGTATACATTTCACATGTATGATGTATATATTTCACTTGTATGATGTATATATTTTACATGTATGATGTATATATTTCACATGTATGATGTATACATTTCGCATGTATGATGTATATATTTCACTTGTATGATGTATATATTTTACATGTATGATGTATATATTTCACATGTATGATGTATGTATTTCACATGTATGATGTATATATTTCACATATTTCACATGTACGATGTATATATTTCACATGTATGATGTATATATTTCACATGTATGATGTATATATTTCACTTGCACTTTGAATGTTTATCATATTGCAGCTATTTATAAACATGTTCTGACCCAGAATCACTTCTGCTTGACATAATGTGCTCAGAAAATATTTAGCACACAAATTCAAAAAAAATATATGCACATATTGATTTTGTCAAGCTGTATACATATGTATCATATTTATATAGGAAATAGATACCACATGTGTTCACCTGATGTTTCAGATTGCATAAGTGTATTGTGTGTGTGGATATATTTCAAGACAGCTTTAGTCCGAATGAAATATTTTTGTTCTAGCAATAAACAAATGCAATCTGAGATGTCAGATGAACACATGTGAAGTATTACTTCTGTTCAGTTTGTACCCCAAAGCGTTAAACTGAACTACAATGGCGGACCAAAAAAAACCAAGGACATCGTAATTTTGTCACATGTCACATATAGCTATAGCGTAAAATGACGCCTTAATGCAGGGAACTCATTCCCGTTTCAATTTTCCAATTTGGTCAATAGATGACAACAGATGAGTTCAAACTAAAAGGTGTTCAGGCTACTGGGGTATTACAACACCTTGTATAATCATAGTGTCAAATACTGGATCTTGTATTATAGCATGGCCTGAAAACTGGCTGTATGTAATAAACTGTTATATGTGTAATTTTATGATTTCAGCAGTCAAAATGTATCACTATAACAGAATATATATTCCTGATTCAGCAAATCTTGTTTTTACTACCTTGCATGACATTGTTTTCCTTTTTAGTAGAAGTTTAAATATTCAACTTAACTTACAGGATCAATGTAACAAAGCAAAAAATGTAACTACCTAGTTCTCCCTATTGACTGGGTCTCTGAGACCTAGTGCAACAGGTACCTACCAAAGTATGCCTCCTAACAGGGTCACTGTGACCTAGTTAAATAGGCACCTACCAAAGTATGCCTCTGTGACCTAGTTAAATAGTTATACTGACCAAATTATGACATAAAGGTTCCTACTCAGTTCTTCTCGTTGACAGGGTTACTGTGACCTAGCTATACAGGTACTTACCCAATTCACCCTGCTGGACATCAAATCGGCTAGCACCATGTTGGTCAATGAATTGAGGGTTATCACTAATCTCCTACAATAACAAAGTAACACATGTCAAAACCGAAATCTGCAAAGTTATGCCACATACCAATAAACTTGTGTATATATGTGTCATGATATATGGGGCAAAGAAGTAACTCCAACAGTGTGGACAAGTTTAGGTTGTCAAATTTTCGGAGCGATCCGCTCATTTATCAAGACACAGTGAAACAGAACAGTTACACGTACATGCATATACATCAAATTACAAGAAGATAGAACTGATATGTAATTGTGTCATGATATATCATATAATCTGTTAGGGCTAACATTCAAGATATAAAGTCAATATTTTTGCATCAAATAATTGGATTTCTCAAACACAAATCTTTACCAATATAATCAATGTATATGAATATAAAGTGTGTGTGTGTTTATGTCTGTACAATGTACAGATATATAAGTACGATGACATTTGTTGGTCAGTGAGTGACCATTGTCAATCAATACCTGTAATTTACCCGTGATAAATCTGGGGTCAGGAAGTCTGATTCTTTGATATTACACAAGCCGGACAGTAAGGCTTAAAACCAAGCGTTATCAATAGTAAAATATAGTGAATTGATTATCAGTAAATCATACTGTCATTTAAGGTGTGTTGTGTACCACTATCAACACCTGAACTTTACCCATCAACGTCATTCATCAAACAATTCCAACAGCATATGATATACCAATCACACAACTGTAGGTAGAGTCATAAGCTAGTAATTATAGAAACATTGAGGGCAATCAGTGCATAGATCTCTCAGACTTTCTCTCTACATTATCTATAGGAGACTCCCAGGAACTGATTGCGATCCCTGACTGGTATGTGTGTGTGAGAGGGGTTCTGGTATCCTGTGATATCTAAGGTTCAAGTGTCTGGGTCTCACTGTCTATACATATACACACAATGCTATCTTATCTTCCTTTTCATATGTTGTAAAAAACAACTGAGCTCTGTGATGGAAGACTGACAATTATTATCAGAACCATCTGGCTTATGGGAGAGTTTTCCATTCTCTCACCACTACAAATATTAATGTTCCCACTAATTATGTAGTACAGTTATATATATATACATGTGTGTGTGTGTGTGTGTGTAAGGGTGTGTGGGTGTGGGTGTATGTGTGTGTGGGTGGGTGTATGTGTGTGTGTGTACAAGTTTATGTATTCATTTTGTCATTAGTACATCTTTACATTATAAGCTCATCGCACATAAAAACAGTTCTGTATTGTCATCATTACCAGTGGTTATGATAATATGTGTGCATTATGGAAGTAATTTGAGGAATAAATCCAATTAACCAGAATAAAACATCTGACATTTACTTCAAACTAAAAAAAAATTAAATAAAATCCAAAGAATTAAACCTGACTCCAACAAATTGACATAACTTTCTACTGTTTACATTTGGTAGTGCTATAGGGAACCTTTAATCCTAAGAATAAATGAGTAATATAAATACCCTGACTAAACAAAATTAAACTTGGAAGACTTCCAACAACCCTTTCTGAACTGTATAGAAACATTCTATCACCCAAGGGAGGCCTCAGATCTGTGAAACACATCATATTGACAGTAGGCATTGATGCTCCAGAAATAATTACTAGGGAGGCTCCATAGGGGGGAAATCTGAAGAAGAGGGCCAGCCAAACAAGGAAAAACTGTTGGCTGTCAGATCTTATTACACTTCCACTCCAGTGATGATCATGACTGGCCCAGGTTATTTGTTAGGGAATCACTGTCTAGGCTCTTCTATTATACATATACACCTCAATCAACGTAAACAAAATGTTAACCACATAAATATATACAGTCAGATAGTTTAAGTGGTAGCTTTCTCAGTAAATCTGACACAAGCTCAAAAGTATTGCATTTGTCATTCAGATAAGAGAGCAATTAATTTGTATACATCATTTTTCATTTTAAGCATTATAATGATGTACAGAAAATGTGAATGATGCTCCACACTTACATGTATCAATAAACATATATACTTACTGTAACACATATTGTTGCGTATTAAATTCAATTGTTCCTTGTAGTCACATGTTGTATCTGCTTGGTAATGCTTTTAATGTGATAATGACCACAACATTCCAAAAGTTAAAAAAAAAACACCACTTAGAAACCTATGAATCTAACTCCAAAATCTTTATGATTTGTCATAACACCACTGAGTTAGCATCCTGTGAAATTACAAGGTAAACAATTTTTGTATACTGATAACAACCTTGACCTCTGAATTTTTTATCCCAAAATTAATAGGTTCCTATAAAATTACCCAACCTTAACAGGTAGTTTAAATGCCCTATCCGGGAAAAATACCAAATTCAGATATTTGAATTCTTTCATACAATTATTAACAGTCAGACCTCAATAATCATCATTTGAACTTTCCATGTACTAGGTGGAAAGGAATGATCTTCTTACAAATCTGGAAAACAAGTTTGGCATGATTTTTTGAGCTCAAAAGGAAGATGCTTCATACAATGGTTGGTTTCTAGTGCCCTTGGTCTGTTTGCCCACCTGCATCCCTCCACAAGTCACCCTGGAACTTGAGTCTACAGTTTTACCTTGAGGTGTAGGGGGGGGGGGGTCAATAGTTCATTAGTTTGGTGGGTGCATAATTGTCCCGGGAAATTATCTAAGATATAATACATATTTGTGTGACTGCCAAGCTGCAGTAATTGCACAGTGCATTGTTATTATCATGCACATTATTCTTTATCAAATCTTTGGCCATAATTTCATTAAGTACTATCTACATTATGTTTCCCCAATTTCTAGACAAAGGAAGGATTTAACTTAGTTACAGTGCTATACAGGTGTCGGGTAACCAAAAGCATGACAGTAAATGTTGGTACTAATTTTGTGTTAGAAAATGACCCCTTTAAAGTAACATTGAAAAAATAATGTTCATCTTGTGTCACCAGAATGTATTTATGTAAGCTGATGACGTAAATGTTGATTAACAGAATCTTTCCCTACCTTGAGGGTGTGAGAGAAATCTCCAACCCTCGGGATGATATTCTTCAGATTGCCTTACCAAAGGTTTTGCCAAGGGCAAGACATTCAAGATTACCATCCTGAGGTTGGAGATTTCTCTGTCACACCCTCAAGGTAGGGGACGATTGTTTTTCTTCCATCCTGTTTCACTCAAATATCTACCGACAAGCGGTCATTGCATGAAATATGAGCGTTGATTGCATGTTTTTTTCCAGCAAATCCAGAGTTGTCTTCCATGGTCTGCTACTGTTGATGTGACATCAATGCATTGATGACGTGAAATCATACTATTGTTGTGACTTATAGATCACGCCATTTCACACACGGATATCTCCCCCTAGGGGGGTTCAAGCTGATCTGGCTTAAAAAGGAGACATGCACACCTGTGAAGGGTAGGAGAGAATATCATCAGAGAACTTTTATCAAACTATCAAACTTAAAAAGTTTGTAAAACACACAGTATGCCCCACTCCTGCTTTGTCAGATTGTGAGCTAAAGAAAAAGTCTAGTCATAGACCTCAAGCTATAGACGCAAAATCTAACCAAAGCCAGCGAATATAGATCACAGTGACCTATATTTGATGTACTGGTGTGTTGTACCCCTGAAGATGACTGAACATAAGGTAGCTGATGGTAGTTGGAATTTCAATATTATAGAGTAATGGAGCTTAAAACAGAGTCAAATCAAGATGTTGTATAAATGGATATAGAGAAAATGGGTAATGGAAGTCTTAATGCCCTTCACCTATGTCGTGGGGGGGGGGG